CCAATTTGGGAAAGTAGGCTGTTGTATAAAGTAGTAAAAGAACAGCTATTCCTACTATTAAATGAACTGTTAAATTCCATTCATTCACAATTTCAGAACTTGGAAAATATTCCAGAGATTATTCTCTGTAATTTGTTTTAGTAATGAGTTAATATGCCTGGATTCATTAACCAAAAACACTGTAGAATTTCTCACAGCAATAAATATAGAATTCAGATAAGCTATTAAAAAGGAAGAAACATTTAAAAGTAAAAATGTTTTGTAGATAATTGTTAATTCTGTTTTCATCAATCATAAATCAAACCATTTGCTATAGATTTTCAGTTTTCAAAATTAAACTTTAGTCTAATAAACGGAACTTATTTTGTTTGATGACAGTATAAGAAAAATAATGGGTGTTTTCCAGTTCACAGCCACAATGCTAACAAACCTGCCCACTCATGGGGGCCAGTCTTTGAGTGACTCTTCCATGTTACTGACACAATGATTCACAATATATATACACACACACATACATATACACACACATACACACATATATATATGCACACATATGTATATATATGGTATATATATTTCTTGTTTATTCAATTTCTATGACTTAAAATTGTACAATGAAATGCTACAAGAAAAGTTCAAGGTTATAAACAGTCTAACTTAAAAAAGAATTGAGCTAAAATAGCAATGAATTTTGTTTTCAGATAAAGGCTATTATTTAGAGATATTAATCTCTCTCCAACCAATGAAATCTGTGATTCCATATTAACACCTACATTGATGCAAAACAACTTATTAGTGAGTTCTTCAACAAAGAACAGGCAAATTACTACTAAAGATGCTGGATTATTTGAGAACTATTTTTAAAAAGCAATAGCTTTGTTTCTACATTTTTTTTTTAGTGAAAAAGAATCATCAACATCTGCTACACTAGTTAAGGTTAATTTTATCCACTCTTTTTCTTTCTTTCTTTTTTCAATGTAAAAGAAAAGCAACATGGGTTAATCTCGTATTCCAGAATTGTTATCTATTAATTCCTTTTCTTCTACCTTTGAAAACCTATCCACGGGCTGGGGATGTGGCTCAAGCGGTAGCGCGCTCGCCTGGCATGCATGCGGTCCGGGTTCGATCCTCAGCACCACATACCAACAAAGATGTTGTGTCCACCAAAAACTAAAAAATAAATATTTAAAAAAAAAAAAACCTATCCACTCTACAAAGACAGATTCAAAATCTTTCTTGTTTGATGTTTCATTTCTGTAAAGGTCCTACCCTTCACAGAAGTCTCTAGTATTTAAATATAACATTTGGATATGAGAACTTCCTTATATGGTATTGTTACACTTATGCTAATCATGATGACCTGGACTCATTGTAGTTTCTTATTTAATATTTAAATTTAATATCTTATTGTCCTTTTAAGCTTCTACTTTCTTCACCAA